AAGTAAAAAAAAAAATCTCATAGATGATAATACAAACGCAGAATAGGGGACTTAAGTGGATACTTAAAGACCTGTGTCACATACCAAACTAAATAATAGAAACATTGAGCTATGTATCCCCCTGTACCTTTATATAGGCTTCTAAATTACTTCACATGGGGGAAGTATCTTTATACAATTCCTGGGGAAAAGATGTCACAGCCTACAAAATAATCTATTATAATGTTAATAGTACTCGCTTGTCAGAGTTGTCTTCATGATTTCTAATTCAGCCTACAAAGTATGTTTAAAATGTCATAAAACATCTACTACAAAATTATCACTATAAATTTTAGTCAAGTTGTTATCTTCTGGAGTCCAAACTGTTGGGCATGTATCTCAGAGTCATTATTGGGTCTTTAAAAAGTATTTTTAAAAAGTATTTATTAATCAATTAATATTTTAAAACTTTTTGTTATGGTAAAATATACACAAGATTTACCATTTTAAATATTTTAAGTGTAAAGTTCAATTTTAAGTAAATTCACATTGTTGTGCACCCATCACCACCATCCACCTTCAAAACTTTAATTAATAATTTATTTTGTTTCTCATTGAAGGAGTGTATTTTGTTCCAGATAATTATAAAAAAAATGCAAAAGAAAATACAATTATCCAATGTCTCACCACTCAGAGCATATCAGATCCATCTCTACCTATTGCACATATAGAATCATATCAGACTGTTAAACCATGCTCTAAAAATTCCTCATGTGTTAGAGATCCTGCTGAATCTAAAATGGGAGCCAGGCTCTGACTGTGTCTAATGAAGTAGTGGGGCTGCACACCCCAGTTGTCTATTTTGCAGCATTTATTTAATGTACCAGGGAGCAAGCTTTAATAAAAACAATTTATGCTCAGAGCTATGAGGCATAGGGGAGAAGAGGTATGGACAATTCATCATCCTGGATAGATGATTTAGAGCTGAGCCCCAGGGATAGAGAGTTTCACTTAGAAGATGACACTGGTCATTAAGAAACTGTTAACGGAGCAAAGATTAGGGACAAGATCATTCTTCCAAATCTATTTGGAATACAAACTGTCATGCTCTGTACCAAAGAGTTGACATTGTTTTTTCTTTTCTTTCTTTTTTCTGTCAGGTGAGGTGGGGAGAATCAAAATGTAACTTAGTTCCTTTAGATTAAATATTTCTTTTAATAATTGTTCATGTCAGTTTTGTCCCTGGGTTTGAATAATGTAAAATACTTTTTGCTATCTTTACTAATGCTTTTGAACTATTAAATGAAACATATTAAATTACTTCCCTAAGGTTTTCAGGTAAGAAACAATGAATGTTATTTAAAAATTCTTTAATTAAATATTCCAATCAATACTGGACCATGTGTCTTGAAATTGTCCATAACTCTATGTTAATAAACTTCCCTAGTGTTTCTAATTTAATCTCAGAAATGTGCTTAGAAAATGGAAAAAAAATATTTTCCATTTTTTAATATCTCTATATATTGAATAAGACATGTTGTAAATAAATAAAAAATGACAATATTTGCCTTATATTAACTGTTCTTTTAATAATTTTCTAACATCTACATTCTCAATTAAAATTTAGGTAATATATGTGTAAGATGTGCTATATATACATGTAAGATATATAGCATACACAAGTGCTAAATTCTAATTTAATTGAATAAATAAGTGTCTAATTAAACTCTGGAGTCATCACGACTTCTTTGCAGCCATAATAGTGTAGAGGTTCAGAAGAGCATGGGCCTGAGAGTGGACTGCAATGGTTTGAATATTGGCTCTACTGCATGATGCTGGGAAAGCTTAGCATCTTTTAGATAAATATTACATTTAAATGTTACATTTTAAAATGGAAAATTTGGGGAGGATGGTGGAGAGAAAAAGTGATTCCTCATTGGCAGATAATTTCAGCATGTGTGTGTGTGTGTGTGTGTGTGTGTAGGAATGGTGAAGTAGCCTTTCATGCATCAAAGAACTGTATAGCACCAAAGGATGGATTTGGGCCAATAAAAACACAGTTTTGCAGAAATGTCCAATAAAGCAGAAGGTAACACATTTCAGGATAAGACCAGAACCTTTGACCTCACGTTCAAATCTTTAGTAGTTACCAATATTATATGTCTATAAAAGTAGAAGTAGAAAGCACACAATTTTCCAGTGCAGAATGAAGTGCCAAACACTTCAAGGAAAACTCAATGCCTTTTACTCAGCAGAATGTGGGACTGTTTGCTTGAGTTCTCCATTTGTAAAATGTAGGTGTTCATGAAGGGAACATTTACAATCCTTCTAAGGTCTAAAATTCCTAAGGTCATAGACGGTTACACGCATTTTGTTGCAGCTGAAAGGAAGCCAGATGTGCCTGAGTCAAAGTGGAAGTGCTTTTCAAGCTCAGAGGACCTTCTGATTCTAGGCAGAGGGACAGAGTTGAGCTGGATATGTTTTCCATTTGGACTGGGAGGATATAATTTAGTTTATATTAAATAGGGATAGAAAACACTCATAATTCAATAAGCCAAGTGTTCACAATGCTGTCTAAATGATGCATTCCTTTGTCAAAAAGAACTAATTAGGGATTACATCACCTTTATGGTTAATTCAACAAAGTATTAATTATATAGGGAAATATAATTTCTATGAGTATATACTATTAACTATGTTCTAAATGGGGCAGGGAGTCCATGCAACCATAACCAAAGGCACCATGACTCAAATTAACTTCCTCAAAAGGGTCCACCTTGCAAATGTAAATCTATAAAATAACTACAGATACAAGTTTTCCCAGTTCATGTTTGATAAGACACCACTGCAGAAAGATTCCATGGACTGGTGAACTATTGAGAGCTCTAATAGCTGTTTTATTTGCATAGTATTTGATTCTAAAAATGATCTTAAACAGGTTTTTCTCTATTTCTGTATTTCTTTTTATCAGTTGTCTGCTCAAATAAGAGTATTCCTTTAAATAACAGTTTTTAAAAAGATCTGAACTGAGTATGCTTCAGATTTTGTTGCAAATTGTATGCTCCATAAATATTGTATAGTTTTAGTGACTGAATGTTTTCTAGTAAAAAGGTGGTAAAGTATTCATTAATTTCAAACCGGTGAGTGTAATGAAACAGCATTACATTAACCATTAAAATAACTCCAAGACCATTTCCAATTTTGTATAAATGTTGGCAGAAAATACATGGAAAAATAACCATTTTCCTCTTACTTGAAATACCAATTTTACACATACTAAATTTTCATCAAATTTCATAATGCATCATTAACTTTTCAATTGTGAGAATTTTACAACATGATATGCTAATACCTCTCCTCTTGATCACAACATTAAAAACCACGTGCTTACAAGAAAGAGAAAAGACAAAAAATAAACATTAAAAAAGAAACCAAAACAAAACAAAAAGGAAGATGCTCAAACCAAAAGAACATCTTGGTACAACAAGGTTAGAAGCAATTTCACTTGTTCCCCAATTTGTGGTTGATTTTGCTGGTTCTTACTTATTTTTGTCCCTACAAAAATGAAGTGAGACATATGTGGAAGATCAGAGATAAAGGGCAAAGGGATGATTGACAGTTTCAAAGGCTGTAAAAAGCGTGATTCTGTGCTTATATATCCTAGTTAGTGGCAAGTAACCACTGCTCCTTCAGTTTAACCCTCTGGGTCTGGTATTTGAAATAGGCTCTAAAGATTCATTGATAAATATCTCTGTGCTCACTATTTCAAAATAGTAAACACAGAGGATAGACTTATAGAAAGAACTTATTTTTTTCTTATTTTAAAAATAGTGGTGGCTTAGTGTAGTAAGAATATTAAGCTTCATTTTATTTTGAAACATGCTTGTTAGTGTAATAAAAGTGCTCTTTATTTTCCACAGGTGAGAATATTGAGACTTGAAATTTAAGTGAAATCATTCCACGTGTTCCTCACGCAGCTGCCAGCCACAAAACCAAGATTGGGATCAACTGGTGTGGTCATTTTTAGCATAAGGTTGAATTAAAGTGTAACTAGCTTTCAATAACAGATGGGAGTTTACTATTGTCTTAACACAAACATGCATCATTTGTAATGTTCAATATGAGAAAGCAAATACTCACAGAAATTTTTAAAACTTAAATATGAGAAAAAATGTTGGAGGTCAATCCGGCTTCTTTTAACTGCTTGACCATCTCAGAATCCCCACTACAGATGAGGGAAGAATCTAAAAAGTTATCTGAAACAGCTGTAAAATAGTGTGTTTCATTTCTTAACCATTTATTCCGTGGGCTTTTCGTTGCCCTTTATCTGAAAGATTTGGATGCAATCTTGGAGGCCCAGGGTCTCCCTAGCTGATAACCTCCCCAGATTACCAGAAGTGACATATAACCCGAGACACTGTGGAAACTGCTAACTGATGCAACCTTTGGCAGGGAGCTTGTTGCTTGTGAAGAATGCATGCTTCCTCAAGCGGTGCCAAACCAGGGTTAACCTTGAGGTAGGATGAAGAATGTGATGGGTGGAGATGAAAATCAGCAAAAAACGGAGGAGGGAAGGGTGGAAGGTGACCCATTATCCATATCTCAGAGAATAGTGATAGAGACTCAGAAGGCCAAAAAGTACATTTTATAGAGAACACAAGTTTTGCAGCAGTTGTTTGAAGCCACTTGAGAAAGTTTGCTAGTATTAAGTGTTTTTAGCTGACATTGTCTTGCTTGAAATGACAGATTTTCCCGTTTCCCTTCTTCCCCTCCTAAATCCCTCTAGATGCCCTTAACAGGGATCAGGGCTGAGGGTGGAGTGGGGGAGGCCATAGAAGCAGAAACTGGTTCAGCCACTGCAGGACTACAAATGGGTTAGTGACCTCCTTTCTCCAAGAACTCTTTCCTAATCCCTTTCCTTCAATCAAACGCGTCTTGTCACCATTTCCTTTGTAACCTTATCCCCTTGCTCTGCTCTTCTCGCCCCCTTCTCCCAGCTGCCTCCCCAGGTTTCTCCTCACCTGTCCACAGCAATGGCCGTCATCGAGTAGATGCTGGCGAACACCGCCGTGATAGGAAAGAAATTCTGGAAGCGACAGTAGTTGGCGCCGAAGTACCACTCGCTGTGAAGCGCATAGATGAAGTTGACCAAGGTGTTGAAGGCGGCCATGGAGGCGTCGGAGAAAGCCAGGTTCACGAGGAAGTAGTTGGTGACGGTCCTCATGCGCTTGTGGGCCAGGATGATCCAGATGACGATGAGATTCCCTAAGACCGCCACGGCCACCACCACGCCATACGCTAGGGACCAGAGCGCGATGCGCCAGGACGGCTGCACGAACTGGTTGGTGAGGTTGGCCCGGGGCTGCAAAGGCTCCGGGGAAGTCGCGGGAAATCCCAGCGTGGAGGACGAGGAGGAGAGGTCGCCGGCTTGGACTAGCTGGTGCAGCCATTCAGCTTCAGTCGCCCCCACGGTTGCCCCAGACGCGAGCGCTGCGCTCAGGTTCCCGGCGTCGGCGCCCGCTCCTCCCACGCCGACCGTCCAGTTGGTGGCTGAGGGCAGAGAGGCCATCGCCGCGGGTCTGCAGCCTGGGATCTGCCCAGCCCCCCGCCCTCAGTCGGTGCCGACTCCCCTGAAGTTCTTTGCCTACTGGTTCCTTTGCGGCTGGGCAGTCCTCAGCACCCCCGCCTGTCCCCTGCCCTGGAAGCGTGGCGGAGAAGGTACCGCTCCCCTTGCTGGTCAAGAAATGCGTTGAACCAGCAGGTGATGGGGAGCAAAGGCACCACTTTCTCCGAGGAGTTTGCGACTCTGGCAGGCAAGCGGGATGAGGCGGTCGGGAAGAGAAGTTAGGGGCTGTCACCAACAGGGATGTCGGGGTTCGCCCCGGTGGGAACTCCCGGGCACCGGCTGGAGCATTGAGTGAGGCTCGGGTGCTGCCACGCGCTTTATAGTCCCTTACAGTCCCCAGCTTTGGTGACGTTGTGAGGGCCGCGGAGCTGACCAACCCCTTCGCAGGCTATTATTGCGCTCCTTTCCTCCACCCACCCTTCAGATTTCATTCATTCTCTACTGGTCGCCAAGCAGATGGATGGAGCTTTTGGGGGTGGACGTGCTCAAGGGAAGGGTTGCACTTCCAGATGTAATTAAAATCTTTACAAGATTGTTTTCCCTCTTTTCAAGATATTTTGCAGAGGTCCTTGCTCTCAGACATTTACTGTGGGCTGTTCTTTTCTAAACCAATTAAACCATTCACCCGTAAATCGAAGGCAGGAGATTTTC